TCTGTTGTCTTTTAAAAGTGGAGACATTTGCCCTTCTCCAGTCTTACCTCTCTGATTTTCCACTATCTTTAAAACATTAGGGACAGTAGCTATTAAGATATGTCTATAAAAGTAGCTTAATTTTGAAAAGAAAGTTAGCTGTATGATGTTTGAAATAATGATACCAAGAACCAAAACAAATGACAATTTTATGAGTAGGGTGTCTATGGCAGCCATGCTATCATGTTGAGAAGGGGATAATAAATAGTGGATAAAGTGAGCAAAATAGTGAAATCTCTGTAAGCCTTTTACAAAAACTATTTGGTGACATGTTAGCATAAAAAAAGACACAAATGGAAACACACTAAGCTGTTCCCTTAGGAAAAATGTATTTGAATTAAATTTGTTCATTTTTAGTTTGAGATTGCCAGTTTTGATCACCAGTCACTTTGGATGGTCATGTAAAAATAAATGCATCCAGGACAAAATGTTAAATGTAGGATTATTTTAGCACGAGAAATCTTGAAGACAGCAATGCCGAAAGAGATGTAAAAGCAACGGATTATAACTTTAATGAGATAAAGTAACAGGAGAGGGAACTAATAGCAGTGGTGAATTGATCCATACCTTCCTTAATACTTTATTTTAGAAACCTCAACAGAAAAGTTGACAGCTTTATGTTATTTGAACAAGTAATACACTTTCAGATATAATGCGGCTGTATAGCAATGTGTACATTGTAGGTAAACTCCATGAAAATGAAAATTCGCCTTCCTCCTCCTTCTGTGTATGTGTATGCATGTGTGTGTGTTTACAGGTAACACTTTTTGACGGGCTTCATCAAGCATAAATAAATTCTTCTCACAAGAATATTTTAAAATAGCTGAAATTTTCCATTAAGTACAAAAATTTCTTTAAGAATTTTAGCAGCTTTGATGTAAACCTTAAAGAATAGTACACATTTTCTTGCCTTTAACAGTATTCCAGACAGTATCGGGTCTTTTCTTGGCTCAGTATCAACATTTTGAACCTCAGTTCTTGTACTCTGTTATACAGTGAAACCCTTAAAGTCTGTTGAAATGTACAGAATAATTTCCCCCTTTATCCAAAGTTCCAGATTTTTTAGATTTTTCGTTATCTTCTTTTCATAGTTTTTCTGTTCCCTCTTTTGCTATTAGTTCTTTATTTAAGTGCCCACTGTGCTAAGTATTGGGGAGTATAAGAACAAAAACTGCCCTCATAGGAGTAGGGATCATATTACTCTTCTCTTTTCCATCTTCCTCTCCCCTAAAAGGTAATTATAATTTAAAATTTTTTAAAATAATTTGAAGAAGGAAGGTAATCAGGGAAGATTTTATGAGAAGCTGAGCATTTATGGAACATAAGGATTGTGAGAGATAGAATCAAGGAAGAGTACATTCTAGGCATTTTGGAAAATTTTTTTTGTTTGTTTTTTCTCCCATTTTTTTTAATTTTGGACTCAAACACCAAAACTCAAATACACAGTAGAGAAAAGAAAAAGAAACGTATCATAAACTTAAATATTGAAACAAATTCAAAATAAGAAAAGAAAAAAAAAAGCATGCCACGTGCACAGCAGATGAGAGAATTCAAAATATATATAGCAATAAATTTCCATGTCAAGAAAGCCTGTACTACACATTATGTTGAGAGCTGTCCGTCTTTTCTTTGCTTCCTTGTAAGTTTTTCTTGTTCTCTGCTGTGCACTTTTGACTTTTTTCTCCCTTCCTCCTCCCAAACCCTTAAGGCTACAATTAAGTGTGGATATATTTATATATAGATATATACATGCTCATATACATATATACACATACATATATACATACATACACTTTTCCTAACAAATTGTACTCCTGATCTTTGTTTTTTAAATAGGAGGACTTGGTAAACTGTGCTGAATGAACTACCTGCTTTCAATGAATCACTTACAAAAAGAAAATAAAAACATCAGCTGTGTATCTTCTAGTCCTTCAGATTCCATATCTATATAAAAGCCACAAAATTTAAATCACTGCTAATGAGAATGAAGAAAAATAAGTAATTGGCATCAATGTAGAAGCAATTTCAGGGATGGACTTGGACATTCTTGTCTTATGAAACAGTTATAGCCTAGGACAGGGTAGGGAGCCTGAGGCCACATGTGGCCATCTAGGTCCTTGGACTGTATCCCTTTAACTGAATCCAAAGTTCATAGAACAAATCCCCTTACTAAAAGGATTTGTCTTGTAAAACTTGGACTCAGTCAGAAGGCAGCACCCAAGGACCTAGAAGGCCACATGTGGCGTGAAAGCTGCAGGTTACCCACCCCTGGCTCAGGAGAATTTGCTGCAAAATAAAAGTTTACTTTAATAAATCTACTTTTAAATGCACTGAGATTAAAAAAAAATCTCTCTGCTATCTTTGGAAAAGGAGAAGTAGATGGTTGTCTTAATGATGCCCATTATTGCAAAAATTAAACTGTCAGAGGAACAGTGTGTGGGTTTTATTTATTTATTTGTTAAAAGCACTAGTGCAAGCACTAAAGTTCTGTCCTTGAATTATATTGAACTGTGTTAGAGAAAACTCATGTTTTAAGTAGTATGTTGAAAATGGCCTTTTGTGGGAGGTTTCTTTTTTAATTCATTGTAAGCAAAAGGTTTTTATATGCTAAGCTTTTCTAAAGTATCAGGTAGTTCAGCTGATTGAACCTTTTTACTACTTCTTTTTTGAAAAAGCAGTTAGCTGATGTACCTCAGTAGTTAGAAAATACAGGGAAACAGTTTGTTCAAATATTCAGTATAATTTTGAGGTATACTTGAGGATGCCAAATTTCTTGGAGAATATGCATGATCAGAAGGCATAAAATAACTCTTCTAGGTGTGAATCTGTTTATTTCACTTTCAGGACAAAAATGTCATTCTTTCTTAGAGAACATAGGTGTAGTATATGGGGCTGATAGTGATGGAATAGATAGTGATAGTAATAGAGACTGGACCTGTGATTTCACTGATATCAAGAACTCCCAGGTGAGAAAACTCCTTCTAAGAATGCTGATTGGTACCTTCTCTTAAATGTGTAGTCTTAGGTCATTTTCTGAAGGGACTTGCTCAGGGCCCACAGTCAGTGTGTACGAGAAGTCTTCCTGGTTCCAAGGCCAGCTCTCTATCCTATAAGCCGTGCTGCTGCCTCTTTCTGACAGAAATTTATAGAAAAGTTAGTAACATGGCCTTAAATGATTTGTTGTTTGACATTTAATCATATTGTGAATTTATATTGCTGTTATTGTTAACGTATATTTCTAAACCTTCAGTTTAAATTTTGACATGTGCATATCTTGTCTAGAATCCAAGTTCCTCATGCCCAAGGTCATACATTTACCTTATTTTTATATCAGCACTAACATAGTACATGTAGTAGATACTCAGTAGTGGTTGAAATACTTTGATAAATATAGAAATGCATAACATTTTCTAATACATCAACAATCTTGGTAGTGAATACAAGGTGATGAAATGTAAGGAAGATAGGGAAGGCACTAGCAGTTGAGGGTTCAGGAAAGCTATCACATAGATACTGGTGCTTAAGCTGCATCTTGAAGGAAGCTAGGGATTCTGTGAGGCTGAAGTGAGGAGGGAATGCACTCCAGGCATAGGAGACAGTCCATTTAATGGCACAGAGCCTGATTATTGTGTGTGAGAAAAAGAGAAAGGCTTGTAGAGATTGTAGACTATAGAGAAAAGTTCTAAAAGACTTGGAAAAATAAGTTGGGGCCAAGTTGTGAAGCACTTTGGTGCACAGTGGAATGACAAAGTCAGAGCTGCAGTTGGGAAAAATCCCTTTGTGGAGAATGGGCTGGAGTGGGAAGAGACTGGAGTCAGGGCCTTGTAGCACTAAGTCTCTGCAGAGTGATGGCCGGAACCAAAAGTAGAGAGGAGGCTTCATTATTCGAGAGATGTTGTAAAGGTAGAAAGGGTAAGATTTGTCTACTGATTGGATATGTTGGGTGAGGGAGAGGGAGAAATTGAGGATAATGCCAAGTTTGCAAATCAGAGAGACTGGATGAAGTTCTCTTAGGAGTTTGGGAAGTTCAGTTTGGAATTTAGGAGCATGACTTGGGCTGGATATATAGATGTGGGAGCCATCTGCATAGAGATGACAGTTTACTCCTTAGGAGCTGAGAGAAGAGGAAGAGGGTCCGGGGAAGAGTCTTGAGGTATGCTCCAAGTGAGGTTATGTATGTGATGAATGATGACCCAGCAAAAGAGATTGAATAGTGCTCAGACAGGTAAAGAGGAGAATCACTAGGGAGCAGTGTCATAAAAATTCTGAGAGCAGAGAATGGTCAGGAGGAAAGGTTTTTCAACACTGCAAAATGTATCAGAGAGGTCAAGAACAATACAAACTTAAAAAATACCATCAGATTTGGCCACTTTGAGATCATTGGTAGTTTTGGCAAGAGCAGCATGGTGAGGTGGAAGCCTGATTGCAAAGGGTAGGCATACCATAACGGTGTTATGGGTATTTATAGTAAAGTGAAGACAGGAATGTAGATGTCTTTTTTCTAGGAGTGTGGCTGAAGAGAGATGCAGAGTGTTTCCTTTAAGTCAGGAGTTTTTACTCTTTTTGTGTTCTGGACCTTTTGACAATCTGGTAAAGCCTATGAGTTCCTTCTAAGAATGATGTCTTTAAACGATTAAAGGAAATGCTAACTTTCGGTTAAAGATTAGTGAAAGTAAAGATTTAAGTTTTTCCTGTACAAGTTTTCAGACCCCCTGAAATCTATGGATCTCTGATTAAGAACCCCTGGCTCAAAGGGATGACACTTTTTCGTGAAGGTGGTGGTATTGTTTTAAGGGATAAGGAGTATTTGGGCATGTGTTAAGGCAAGGCAGGCAAGGAAGGAAGTAGCCAGTAAGACACAGAGAGAATAAAGATAGGAAAAAAAATCTTCTGGTGATTATTTTAATAATTTTGCATTTTAATATAAGCTTGTATCTTTAAAAACTTTATATTTTTCTCAGGAAAGCAAAGAAACCGACTGGAGCCTATGGACACCATATTTGTTAAGCAAGTTAAAGAAGGAGGACCTGCTTTTGAAGCTGGATTATGCACAGGTACTCCTCTTCTGTTTTACATTATGCTACCTGAGGCTCACAGTGTTCTGTTTGCTTTTTCTGCTTGTTTCTCCAAGTTTCCCATTTCACTCTCCACATAGTCCCCCTTTCTCTGGTTTTTCTCTCTATTTCTTCTTTATCCATTCTCAGACTGAGGAACCTCAGAGAGCCATCTATCTAATTCACCTAATATTAGAACAAGAATCCTCTTTACAGTGTATCGACCAATCTAGCCTTTGCTTAGAACGCCCTCATGAGGAGTACTTTACTTACTAGTGCAAGCCATCTGACATTTGGGATTGTTCTGATATGCGGGGCGTCCCGAAAGTTTTAGTGAAATTTTAAGCCATAAAGCTTGGCACCAAGATTTTTGAGACATACGCGCGCGCGCGTGTGTGTGTGTGTGTGTGTGTGTGTGTGTGTGTGTGTGTGTAGTAAAAAGATTTCTGAACTGGGAGTCAAGACCTCAGTTTGAATCCTGTGTTTGCCACCAGACTTTGAACTTTCAGAGGTGCGCAAATCACTTCAAGTTTCTGAGCCTCAGTTTCTTCATCTGTAAAATGGGGATAGTAATAGCATTTGTCTTATAGAGTAGTTCTAAAGATTAAAATTAAATAATGTACGTCAAGCACTTTGTTAAGCCCTGAAGTATTATAAATATCAGTTATTATTTTGATTTTATTTCATCCCCTTGGGATATACTATCAAAAATTAAATAAGTTTGATTGATAAATGTCTGTGGTTGCTATTTTGTAGAGAAAATATGCTTAGTGTTTAACATAATGACATTCTGTCATCAAGAAATGCTTTACAACAGGAATTACCTAGAAACTTCCTACAGTCTTTCATTGCCTTTTGAATAGAGAGCTGTAGCATTTTAAACTCCTTCGTATTCAAATAATAACTATATTGAATAGTATTTAAGAAGATCATCTGGTTAAAACTTATAAAATGAAGTCTTTTTTCCTAGAAAAGTTCATGAACCCTGTAAAATCTTTCCACAGACTCGGGGTGGGGGGGGGAGGGAGATGTCTATGGACCTGAGGTTAAGAACACAAAAGCAGATACCCAGTGGCTATTCATGTGGAACACACATAATTTTTCAAAACACTGAATGTTAAGAAGATGAAACAGGGGACATTGAATGGAACATATTTAGAAAACACAACTTTTTTCCTTCTTTCCTCTGATTTTACCAGTAATGTAGATATGCTGTTTCCAATCAGGTCATTTCTGCCTTCCTAACATTTGACCCAACTTGGCGAACAATTTAATACATGTAAATTTGTCATCTTAAAGACAAGTGCACTTGTCTTTAAACACACTTACCTAGGCTGTGCAGCCAGCTCTAGGTATTTATCGTGTAGGGACATTAGGAGAGGTAGCATGGCACAGGACCAGTGTGCTGAGCTTGTAAACTGGAGTTCAGATTCCATTACCAGCACTTGCAGCATTGTGTTCTCGGGCAAATCACTGAATTTCTTTGGCCTTCAGTTTTCCTCATCTGTAAAAAAAAAATAGGGAATGATGATAATATCTACTTCATCGAGTTGTCAGGCTCAAGTTAAATAATGTAGATACAAACCTTAAATCATATGTGAATGTGAGTTGTTACTGTGGGGAAAGCCAGGTTAAAAAAGGGATAATTAAATTAAACAAAAAAAAAGTAAACCCAGCTGGGCCATTAAGGGGGGGGAGGGCATTAACAGTTAGTTTATACTTCCTATGTAGGTCTGTGTTTTACAACAGTAGTAGAAGTGGTGAATTGAAGGAAATTGAGTGGTTCTGTCATTTGCTGCTACTTTCCCCCTCTCTCCTGGTTAGGGCTAGAATCTTAGGTAGTGGAACAGTGGCTACTAGACTTGGTGAGAGATGATTTTGACGTCTGTAAAGCCAACAACAGTCCCACTGTGATCTTGTTTGAAAACACGGCTGTATATCTTATGTAGACAAATATGCTTTCAGTAGAAGATAATGAGTTTTTTTTTCTTCAGTGAGATATTTAATACTAATTTAAAAAAAACTTTATCTCTCTGCTTCATCGTGGCCCTCCTCAGTTTTTTATTTCTTCTTTCCTTATGTTGGTATAAGTGACTTCATATAATAAAGACACTACCATATAGACTAATGAAGAAATACTCTTTAGTGCCTACCTCATAAGTTATGCCTACACACATTTTCCCTTAGAAATTTCTCATGCTTTTTCTTCACCTTTCCTTGCAGGTGATCGTATTATAAAAGTCAATGGAGAAAGTGTTATTGGAAAGACCTATTCCCAAGTAATTGCTTTAATTCAGAACAGGTAAGATATTTGAATAATGTTGATTTGTGCTACAAGTGGGTTTCTGTTTCACAGTTCAGTTCAGCAGAGTGATCTTTATGAAATGTTGTATTACCTTGGAAAGTGATGTGATGAGGACTTGAGCTTTTACGGGGCTGAAGCATTTGTGAGTTGCTAGAAGCCAAGTTTGCTTGGGCATGACTTAGATTGCTTCTGTTTGGCAGCTTTACTGGCTTCATCATTAAAGCCACTTATCTGGGCTTTGGATCACTAAGTTTCATGTTTTTTTAATGTTTTCTCCTTTGTTTGTAATGGAAATACAGTGTTTTAACTTTTGATTTAATGAACCTGTACTGAAAATTCTTATTGAGTTTAGTTATCTCACCTAAGATAAATTTGCTGCCATTGAGATAGTTTTGAACATTTTCTGGACAACATGCCTACTGCTTTTCCATAGTCCATTACTTTCCAACTTTTCTGTCCCTCTTTTTGTTACAAATAACGAGCCATTTGATGAGTAAGTTCACCAAGTTGGTTATAAATGAAGATGTTCATTAATGCATAAATCTAAACCAGGCCTGCACAACATATGGCTTATGGAGCCACTTGTGGCCTGTGGGCTGGATGTTGTGCAGGCCTGGTTTACATTCTCTACGTTTTTCATGGGCCCCCCAAAATCCTTTGGTGGGCTGCAAGCAGCAGGCCATAAGCAGCTCATGATATTGTACAGGCCTGATCTAAATAGATCTAATACAGTTAACTCTGGATTCTATTTCAGTGAGTTGGTTATACACTTGGCACATTACCCATGATGACTTAAGGTTGTCCTTCTGCCTGCCTTCTTCCCCCACCACTATCCCGAGGCAGATAGTAAAGGCCCATCAACTGGAGGTTGATGTGATAGAGGTGATTAGACAAAGGCGCAATTCTGTTAGTGTGAGTATGTGTGTGAAGGGGTTTTTACCTGTCTGTGTATGTTAGCCTAGTCCAAAGTAATGTGTGAGAAGGGAACACTCTCTCTCTTTCCTCTAGTTTTACAGATGAAGCTTAGAAAAGCCATTAATTGCCTAAGGTCACATAGCTAATTACTAGTAGAGTCAGATCTACATCCCAAGTTTCCTGGATTTTTTAGTCCATTGTTCTTTCCATTATACTGCCTCTCAGAAACTAAGTAATTTTTGGATTATGTTATCTTAGCCACAACTTTGTTCCTCTTTATTAGTGGATAGTAGATAGTGATATTGAGTATAGTAAAATTAAGTAACTTATCTAATTGCTCAAACTGTTTCTATGAAGAACTATCTTTTGATAATCAAGTACAAATAAAGTTAAGAAAAATTCAGTATTTATGTGTGCATTACACACACACACACACACACATTGTAAGTACTGTGGGATAGGCATTTAATTTTCAGGGAAATTGAGCACAGAAGCACACACAGCATAGTGCATAACTGTAAACAGTATAGTTAATATCCAACTCTATTTATAACAGTATAATTAATATCCAAGCAGATTTTTAAAAAATTTTAAGTGGTATGATGAGGACAGATTGCTACTCAAGTTATTATGTCCTTAGTTGTTAGTGAGATTCTGAGATAATACATAGCCTATATCTTGGTTCTACCTGGTAGTGGTACCAATTTGAACATAATGCCTCAGGAGGTTGAGACAGGGATAAGCTTCCAAGCTCTTTTCTCTGAGATAATTGGGACGTTGCTAATATGTGTTTTGTTTGCTGATATTTTTATGCCTATAAATGTAAATGAACTGCTAAAATAACTTTAAAAATTCACTTCTTAATATCTGTGATTCTCTTATGATTTGTTTTCCTTGAAATACACATAAATTTGTTCGCACATTGATATGTTTAATCTTTGGGAGTACTTTAATTGTTCAGAATGACAATATTCATTTTTAAACAAAATTTGGAAAAATAGAGAAATATTATAAGTTTTCTCATCCTATCTTTTTTTTTTAAAAATTGTGTTCCTTTTGTCTGCAGTTGGTAGCAAATGGATAATGGAGCATAATGCCATTGAGATTCTGCAGTCTATTAATGTAAAAATGTATCCTTGCAGAAGAATTTATCTCATCAGTATGTATTATCTACTGACACTAAGCTACTAAAATAAAACCCCCTGCCTAGTTTTATTCTTGTTTAAACCAGTGGCTCTACTTAGCTTGCCATTTTTTTTTTTGCATTTATAGCTTGGACAAAAAAGCAGTACTGATAAACTTAAGGGATTTTAAGTGTTAAATATCTTGACTGAATTACAGAAATTGTAGTTAATGCCTCTAGATTGGGTTTAGAAACACTTGGCTGTGCTCTGTCCACATGTTGTTTCAGATACCAGGTTTCACTCTCATTTACCACTCTTGATATGTTTTTTTAAGATAGAGAAAATGTTCACTTGTAATAGCTTTATGGCATGAAAATGAAGGTCTTATTAAGCTTTAGACCATGAACAGGTTTTTTGCCAATTGTTATAATTAGAAATTATTACAAAGTAAAGAAAAACAGTCATGACAGCAGATAAGGTTTCTTTTTTTCATGAATGAAATTTTCAGTTAATATGATAAATGATCTTTGAAACATTGAATTTTAATACAGACAGGAGCATTTCTTAATATGATGATTTAAAGACTACCCTGATTCTCTGATATTCAGCTTTTTAAAAAATCCTGTAATATGGTCTCTGGATTAAAGTGAAAGAAGAAACCATTCTGTTTGCTGTGAATTCTGGTTTCGTTTTTTTAGTTTAACATTTCTGATGCCTCATTAAGAAACTTTTTAAGTAGACTTGGGATATGCACATTTTAAAAAGAATTAGTGGTTTGAGATAATAGGATAAAAACATAGGCAACTAGTCCTATTTAAAAGCTAAGCATTATTTTTCATATTCTAAATAATATGGATTTAGAAAGTAACAATTTAAGAAAACAAACAATCTAAGCCTTAAGTAATTTTATGAACATTTCTGAATTTACTGACCTCTGGCCTCTCCCATATATTTGTATCTCTCCTAAAAATTAAAAAAAAATGTGTATTTCTGTTTTATTTCAGTGATACCACATTGGAACTTAGTGTTATGCCAAAAGATGAAGATATCCTTCAAGTGGTAAGTGTTCTTTACTCAACTAGCAATACAGTCATCTCAACTAAGTCTCTTTGTGATAGAGACCAACTTTTCCTGACCAAAGTAGATTAAGTCTTGGTAGGAAGTTTTGGCCAAATGTTGTCTAAGTTGTGTCTGTGCATCTGACAGTCTTGGTTGGTTGAAGGAAAGGAGAGCCCCCAAGTGCAGATGAAAGAAAGCAGCATTCATCATGGCTCTGCTTGCAGTTTGTTCTCAGTAATTCAGTTCAGTATCGTCAGGCAATGAGCTAGGAACTGGAGGCACAAAAAACAAAATGGGAAAGTCCTTGACCCCTTATCATAGGTTAGGAAAGAAAGAATGGGTATCCACAGGGTAGAGGAGGCCCATCGTGGAGCCCTGTTCGCCATCTTAAGTCTTAAGAGAGTGAAGGGGCGTCACAGACTGAAATCCCTTCTCATTTTTAGAGGCCATCATATCTGTGTCAGGACTAAGACTGGTAAAAACCTATAAGAATAAGACTCAGACCACAGAGTATGTTGAGTTGGACTTGATTAAGAAAACAGGTAAAAAATTGCTAATATATCACTCTGGTTGACAAAGAGGAGAAAGCATTTTAGTGTACGTAACATATAGAATAATTTGGGGGGGGGGAACTGGTCAGTCTGTCTCATTCAATTTTATTTAAAATGAATACTGGGCAAAAAACATTGAAAAAGAGAAAAAACATTATTTAAAATGAATATTGGGAGTAAAACACTGAGAAAGAGAAAAAAATTAGAGTTTACATTACTTGAACCTATAGGTATCATAGATACTCAGTAGTGTGTATATCAATACTATTTCTTACTCCCAAATAATATGGTTTAGGTGTAGCTTCATATGTAGTTTTAGAGTATCAAAATTCCAAACTGTGAAGACAAAATAATCACTGTTTTGAATGTAATCTGTGGTAATGTCAAATAAAAATAATTTGTTTCTTATAGCAGTTTTCAGTTTTGCAAAAATGGTGTTAAGTTTTTATTTCTAGCAAATTACAGAATATTATCTAAGACATCTGTATAAAAAATGCTAAAAGAAAATTTCGTCTTTAAAGTTGACTATCATTCACAGCTGAATCCATTCTAATTTAATGAAGAGATCTGAGTAGTGTAAGAAAAACATGTGCAGTTCATATTTTGTATTAACTGTTCAGAACTGGACATGTATAAAGATGAGACATTTTTCAAACATTAAATGGGATTTCTGATATTCTTTCATAATTATATATATTAGAAAAATTTTACTTTCATAGAGATATGTCGGTATAATGAGAAGCGTGCCTCAGAGTCAGGAAGCCCGAAAGACTCTGGGGAGTAACACAATGTAACTTCTCACTCCTTCAGTTCTCTCCCTAATATTAGTGTTATAATGTTGGTCTGACTGCTGTGGCAAAGACGTTGTCTTCACCTTGAGTCCCTTATGCTAATGAAATCAGAGGACTGAACTGTTCATATCCCTAACCCTCTCTTCTCTCAAATTGCTTTTGAGCAGCAGTTTTTCTAAGTTTGAACCATTGATCTTAGTCTGTTAGGATCTTCGAGGTGATCCTCAAATGGCTCTAAAATGTCTCATGAAAAAATGTTTTTAGTTTTGGTTTAGCTTTGTTTTTTAACTAGGGAGTTGAGTCTTCATTTAAAAAACATTAACAGTTAGACCTGAGTTCAAATCCGACCTCAGACACATAACACTTACTAGCTGTGTGACCCTGGGCAAGTCACTTAACCCCGTTGCCTAGTCAAAAAATAAATAAATAAAACATTAACAGTTTAATGGCCATGATGAAGGTTGTTGATGGGATAGGGTGGTTATGCACCTGGGCTCCATGACCTGAAAACTTTAGTAGAGGGGCCAATCTATAAGCGATAGAATACAGAATTTAATTATGTTAAAATATAATTATTAGTAAAAAAGCATTTAATAAGTGTCTACTATGTGCCAGGCATTATGCAAGATACCAGAGATAGAAATAAAAATGGAAAAAAGAAAAAAAGAGGAAACAATCCTACTCTCAAAGAATTGTGCCCCCCAACTCCCACCCCAGGGAGACAACATGTATATAAGTATGTACAGAATAAATACAAATTAAATTTAAAATGATTGGGGAGAAATGGCAGTAGCAGATGGGAAATCAGGAAGGGCAGGAGAAAGAAGGGAGCACATTCCTGGCACAGGAGACAGCTGATGCAAAGGCACAGAAAAGTACATGTCAGGGAATGTCACTGTAATGGAGGACAGCAGTAGAAAACAAAACTTGAATGAAACAAGATAAAGAATGAATTCTTCAAAATGAAAAAATGTGACTAATAATTTGCTTGACTTGCTAATTAGATGACTTAAAAATTAGCAATACAAAAATTTAATTGTTTAGCTTGGTTCTTTTCCTGTTTTATGCATTTTTACCTTTAAAAAGTATAAGTATTTTTGTAAATAATTTTCATCATCCTTTTTTTAAGACTCGAGTTTAAGGGGCAAATTCCCTTTACCAATTTGAATAATATTGTAAGGGGGTCATATTTTTATTATTTTGATTATTTGATACTTCTGTATGTGGGTCAAATGACCATTAAGCCAAATAATGAACAATGACTCTGTGAACTTTTACAGTTTTTGTTTTTGTTTTTGTTTTTTGTTTTTGCTTTTAGGCAATTGGGGTTAAGTGACTTGCCCAGGGTCACACAGCTAGTAAGTGTCAAGTGTTTGGTGGTCTGAGGCCGGATTTGAACTCAGGTCCTCCTGACTTCAGGGCCAGTGCTCTATCCACTGCACCACCTAGCTGCCCTGGACTTTTACAGTTCTGCTCAGACTGGAATTATGATAACAGGGAATGGAAGATAGAATCTTCTGAATCTAAAGGGATTGCCCCAGCAATTACTTTTTAAAATGCAGACTAGTGAACCAGTGCTGCAAATCTTGACTTAATTAACATTAGGCTGCAGGGACTAAAACTTAAATTTTCAGTTGAGTTTATTGGTTGTGTTTAGAGAAGGGAGTTCTGGAAAATTATTGGGAAAGTGTTTAAGCTCAGATACAAGAAATATGGTTTCTATAGAGGATACCTACTTTTTTTGAAAATCCCTTTTATTTGAACTAAAGGACAGTTAAGTATTAATTTTATTGAGCTATGTTTGAATTTGTTTTAAGCTTTATGATAAATTATAAATATATTTTACTTTTTAAGTTCATTACTCATTTATGTCACTTTTTAATTGATTAGGAAAATGTGTGAAACCTATGAATATTCTTTTTACTTCTATATATCTTAACAGTTGTGAGTTAAATTCCACTATATGTTTGAAATATCTTTTCAAGTCCTTTATACTAAATTAGATCTCAGTTTCCTCAGAGACAGTTTTTATGTTAAATGTTTAGTGACTTTAATAGTTTTTTAAATCATTATCATCATTGTGAACTCTTTTGTGCTAATATTATATAGAACACTTATAAAATTATATCAGTGTGTCTGAGCTTAATGTTTTGATGAGCACATTGATTAACAAAGCTAATGCCTCTTTTGCCATTAAATATTTTAATATACATTGGATTTACTTTCAAAACAATGATGTGTACATTGTTTAAATTGAGAAATGTAATTTGAACTTAAGTTTTCATTTGTTTGTAAGCCATATTTTCTTACAGTTTTTGGCTAGTCATTTGAAATGTAGCAGAATTACTTAAGAAGGCTATGGAAATGAAATGTGGGCTTATTCATTTTGTCAATACTTGTGAAGGACCTACAATTTTCATGTTACCTAGTTCAGTGCTGGGGAATTAAAAGAATAAAATAGGTTCCTGGCCTAGCAAGGGATTTGAGACATGTAGCATACAAAATGGAACATGGATAAGTGACTAAAATAAGTAAAAGGTTCTACGAGAGATCAGATTAGTCAGAAGTTGGTTTAGAAAGTTTTGTGAACAGTCTTTCCTAGAAAAGGAGAGACTAGATGTAAGAATCATGAAAGTTTCTTTATTGTCTTGTAAATCTGTATCAGTTGCTTGATGTTGCTTGAGAGTTTTAAGGAAGATCCTTAAAGTGTAAGAACTGTGATCAGTACAATGACTAATCACTCCGGAAGACCATTACAGAGAGATGATGGGTGTATGGTGTGGAATGTGACGTGTGTGTGTGTGTGTGTGTGTGTGTGTGTGTGTGTGTGTGTGTGTGTCTGTCTGTATACCACCATTGGGAGAATTTGTTTTGCTTGACTAGGTTATATTTATTAAAAGAAATTTGTTCGCCACCCCACTCCCACCTTTGGGTTAGGAGAAAGAGAAAATACATTTCTCTTAATTAAAACACAGAGGTAGCAGGGAATGGTACAAATGTGAAATGTTATATGAACTTTCAGATGAGGTCACTGTATTAGTTTTATTTGACTGTTTTACTTTGTTATAAGAGATGGGGAGACCTTTTTAAAGTAGAGGGATAACTAGGATTTTTTGCTTATTTTTTCCCACCAACTTTTCACATAATAGTCAAGACTGATTATTTTGCTTTAAACAGTTGTTTACAAGGAAGCAAGGCTATTTTATTTGATGTGCAATTTTAGTCAGTTACTATTAATCATTGCCCATATTTAATACTATATTCAATTAGCCAGTGTTTCTGGCTATTTCCTGATAAAGATTTCAGTTGACAACCTTTTACTCCCTATTATAGTGTTGTTTTTCCCCCTGTTTAAATCCTTACAAAAATGATTTAAGTAAGGGGTTGTTATTACATTTTTGTTAGTTAAGGCTTTAGTTTTTAAAACACAGGCCTTTAACACTTACTGAATTTAAATATGACAATGAAGGAAATTTCAGGGAAAGGAAGAACTAGGGTAAAAATGCTAAATTGAAAAAGTGTTTTTTTTTTAAACTACCTTACCATTGGTTGAATATTTTAAGAGCTACTTATTTTGTTCTATTAAATGCTATCTAAAACATCACTTTTGTGACTGTAGATGAACAGTTCATCCAAAACAGTTGCACACAAAACCAAGATAATTTAGGAATGTTATGTTACCCCAATTCAGTTATCTTTTGGTACTGTTCGCTTAGTACCCAAATAGTAATTCAGTTACCTCTGGTAGGATCTTAATTATTCTATTTTGTTTCTCTAGCTACAGATATAGGGCAGTTTGGGAGGTCCTGCTGCTATATGCCCAGGTAATGGGTTGAGGGCCACCTCAAGGAGTAACACATAATAGCTGGTCCAGATGTTTTCCTCCAATATGTTCATCTTGGGCCCTGAGTAACCCCTTTAATAGCTGGTAAATATTTGGCACATAAATATTGAGTTTTAAGTGATTTAAATGAATATCTCTGCCCTGAATACAGCAATCTTAATATTTTCTCCTGCTTGAAAAAAAAAATGTGATTAAATAGTATGTAAATTTTCAAGTATATCATATGAATTAATTTTAAAGAACTTTAATGTGGGCCTAGACTGTAAGGCAAGATTACTTGCTTTTTTAAACCTTAAAATATTAAATAATTCTATTTTTGTTGCATGGCCAGTGTTTGTTTTTAAATATATGCCATTTGGCTTTTTCACTGCTTCTTGAATGAGCTAGTTTTTAGAGTTTTCACCTCATCAGGTTTGGTTTGGAAATAACCTTTTAAATATCTATTTTAGCCTCTCATAGAAGGAGGGCCATTCTATTGAAATATACTGCAGTGATAACTTACGCTTGTATTTCCTGAATGAAATATATCTAATGAAATTAATCGTAAAGAGAGGTTATTTCTTCAGAATTATCATCTCCCTCTGTTTTAGAAATATAGAACAAGAGCAACCGTGATCAGCTGACAGCTACTGCTTATGTTCAGATTTATTGGGAGGAGGGTTGCACTGTTTTAAATGCATAATAGAGCTTTCGTTTCGTCATCTGGAAGCAGAGCTCAGTAGAAGCTCCAGGGAGATGAGAGACAGCAATGTTGCCCTAGTGGAAGGGAAGCTTTGTAGCACATCACCAGAGCACTGTGCCTACAGAGGAAAAATGTGTACCAAGGAGTCATGGCAGGGATATGCTTTGCTTTCACAATGGTAGAGAAATCAAGCAAGAAGCCGGTAGAAGCCTGAGACATATGTGCTTACGGGAGCACTGAAGGGTGTTATGCTTTACTGCCCCTTTGCCTCAATTGGAACCTTCCAGAGAAATCAGTCTACATGTATTTTTAGCTTGCTGTTTCTAGCACCAATATAACAACATAATTCTGTCTTTGTATCAGTAAGCAGCTTTTACTATGTTTTCCTATTTTCTGCCAGCTACAGTTTACAAAGGATGTCACAGCACTGGTAAGAAATGCACAGTAGCCATTTCCTTTATTTGTAAGGCATGTTTTTTTTTTTATAGATTTGTCATAATACAGTCTATTAAACCTGCAAGTTACTGAATTAGATGTTTGTTCACAGAAATCCCTTCTTATAGTTAACCTTGCTAATGTGCAATATGTGCTTGTGATGTTTATGGGGGGTGGGGAGGATTGTTTTCTTTCATATCCTAAATTTTAACTAGTGTTCAATGTAGAATTTATTGCATTTGGTTTTTGGGTGCCTCGCCCTCCTTCCTCCCCTCCACCTCCCCGTACTGGGCTCTTAGGTTGATGACTGCACTTCTGCTTTACAGCATGCCTAAGTGTAAAGCCGAGACTCATTTGGTTCTGAATTAAGACTGTTATGATTAGAATAGGAAATGTTACATCTATTTGTATCAAATCCTGAATAAATGCTGAACTTAGGCTTTTGTTGCATTGGCCATCTCTGTGTTATGGGGTCTCTATTTCCATTTTAATTATCATGAAGTTTTTAAAATAATGTCACAAATTATTGAAAAAATAATTTAGAATGCATAACTATAATTAGTAGGTACACCTTTGTAAGAGAAGGAGATAAATAAAATTTACAAAATGTAATAAAACCAGTTTTCTTAGGCATTATTACCTCAACATAAGGTAAGATGGGAAATAATTTACTAACTTGAATTACTTTGAGCTTAGGAGTATATATGTTTTCAATATATGTACTTAATACTAAAAATTTTCATTTTTCCTTTTGTTAATGTACAATTATTAGCGTGTTGGTTTAATTTTTATATGATAGCATCATTTTGAGAAATTAAGTAATGACTAAGACTAGATATCACTTCAAAAAGTTTATTCACTGAAAATATATTTATATAACTAGAATTTTTAATATTTTCATTTTCTTTTATCTGCCAGGGGTAAAAGAATCCTCTGACTTATGGGATTTATTATGAAGCCATTTAACCTGCCAAAATCCCAACAGCACTAAGAAGATTGAATGGGGGAGTTTTAGAAGCACTTCATAGCAAATAAGGGAAAATATTTTGATGTAGTCACCAAACTGTTGAAAAGGGAATCATTAGTATCCATTTATATGATTTGCAAATTTTGCAGTTCACTTGGTTTCTGAACTGACTTTTCCTCTAAATTTGTGTCATTAAGTAACGTGGTCTTATATCTGGGTTGAAGTAAACATCAAAAGTAGAAATTATTGCCATTTTTAAGAATTTTAGATAACACCCTATTTTCATTCATTCACAGGCATATTCTCAAGATGCCTACTTGAAAGGCAATGAAGCTTACAGTGGCAATGCCCACAATATTCCTGAGCCCCCGCCCATTTGCTATCCCTGGCTATCACCCTCCACTTCAGGAAAGGCACAGCCCATGGAAGTAGCTCCTCCTGACTCTTCGCTGAGCAAACAGCCAGTCAGTACTCCAGGACTGACCCAAACTAGCAGGGCCTACAGAATGGAAGTACAAGTGCCTCCCTCACCACCAGATGTTGCAAAGTCCAATACAGCAGTGTGTGTTTGCAATGAAACAGTAAGGACTGTCATCGTGCCTTCTGAGAAGGCTGTAGACTTGTCATCTGGTAGAAATAACCTTACAGGTCCGTCACATAGAACTGAAGAAGTCAGGTATGGCATCAGTGAACAGACCTCTTTAAAAGCAGTGTCAAGGACTCTATCACCATCATCTTCAGTTCCCACCACCCATTTAATTCATCAGACTCCAGTGTCAAGATCAGTAGATCCTTCTGGAGTTTCTGTTAAATCTCTTAACTATGGTGGACATCTGGAAGGAATCTCAAGCAGTAGGCCTCAAGCAGTGGATACTCCCTCAGTTTCTACTAATCATTATTCTCCAAATTCTCATCAGCATATAGACTGGAAAAACTATAAAACCTACAAAGAGTATATAGATAACAGACGATTACACATGGGGTGTAGGACAATTCAGGAAAGATTAGATAGTTTAAGAGCAGCTTCTCAGAGCACAACAGATTATAGCCAAGTGGTATCAAACCGCACCACCTGCCAGGCACGCCGGAGGAGCACTTCTCATGACAGAGCACCTCAACCAGTTCAGATCCGGCAGCGTAGCGTATCCCAGGAAAGACTAGAGGACCCTGTGCTGATGAAGTATTGGCCAAGAAGTGCTTCTCAAGGGGCACTCACTTCCCCATCTGTTAGTTTTAGGAGCCACAGAACGCGTTCATGGGATTATCTCGGTGGGCAAGGTGACACATCAGAAAAGGTGAATTCAGAGAACCTTGTATCTGATTTGAATGGAGATAGAAAACAGACTTATAAATGGACTGGATTTACAGAGCAGGACGATCGACGAGGTATCTATGAAAGATCTAGGCAACAAGACTTTCATAAATCTTTTCGAAATTCAAATTTTACTGTGGCTCCTAGCGTTTTAAGTTCAGATAGCAGACGAGTGAGTGGTAAAGGAGTGGGACCTGGGTCTCAATTTCAGAAAGTTTCACCAGATTTAAAAACATTGCAGTCAAATAGGAGTTTTCAAAACACTTATGGAACATCATTGCCTCGAGGCATTTCACAAGACAGGTCACCTCTGGTAAAAGTCAGAAGTAACTCTTTGAAATCTCCTTCTACATATGTGGCAAAACCCTCATTCAACCAGAACTCATTTGTTGCTATCAAAGACCAAAGACCAGTAAATCATTTACATTCAAGCAGTCTACTAAATCAGCAATCGAGATTACGAGCAGAAAGTGCACCAGACCACATGGTTGATACTGGGAAGTCCCCTTCTTCACCTGTAGCTTCTGCCAAGCTTGGACTTCAGATGAGTGAGAGCTGTCTTCCCTCAGATGATTTAGAACCATCTATCAAACAAAATTCACAAGAAGTGGAAATTCAACCATTAGGCTCCTTAGATAACAAAGAAACAGTGGTCTTGAGGGAAAAACCTCCATCTGGGCGCCAAACACCTTTGAGGCACCAGTCATACATCTTGGCAGTAAATGACCAAGAGACTGCATCAGACACTACCTGTTGGTTGCCAAATGATGCACGCCGAGAGGTCCACATAAAGAGAATTGAGGAAAGGAAAGCATCAAGTTCCAGCCCACCTGGTGATTCCCTGGCATCCATTCCATTTATAGGTGAGTTCCTTGGTTTAAATACACTTCATCAAAATTAATGGGTCTCATAGTGTCTTCTGGCTGATATCCCAAATATTTTGGTATTCTAAAAAGACATTTTCAAGGTAAGACATGGAATTATGTAGATGTTTTTGTAATTCTGCCAACAGATAATGAGAACATATAATTCACTACCTCTTCCCTGACTGTAGAGCTTTCTATTTCCATTGTATATAGTCTCAAAATTTCAGGTGTTTCTTCCAACTTTAAAAACTGTTGTGCATCAAACTTTTGTCCTCTAAAATTATGTTAGCATCAATTTCCTTTTTCACATGAGCTTAAGAATGCAGTTTTACATTGTGAAATAAACTTCTTTATCCTGTGCTAATGAAGAAAGGAAAGAATAAGCATTTATTAAGTGCTTACTGTGTACAAAGAGCTTTATGCTAAAGGCTGGGATGCAAATAGAATGGTAAGGTAGTCCTTGCTCTCAAGGAGCTCACATTCTAATGGGGGAGACAATAAGTGTAAGAGATGTCAGCTGTGAGTCAAGTGGAAAGGTACCATGTTCTCTAGGATGCAGTGGCAAAACACATGGTAATACTGCATCTTCTTTAATGTGTTTCTATTGATAAACCTGTTGGGCTGTGATGTCAAACTTTAACAGTGTCAAGGACTTTGGTGGAAAGAACTTTGCTTTCTGAGCTTCAGTAGTTGTGGCTATAATGTATATAAAGTTGATACAAGTGACGCTACAAACTGAATTCTTCTCAAATGTTGACTCAATCCAATATTTTCACAGTGATACCTTAAATTTCTTTTCAAAGTTCTTTCATATTTATTATATTCATATTCATTATATTCATATTCATTATTTTGCTTTAGCTTTTAAATATATTAATTATTTGCTACAGACAGAAACACTGCGTTAGGCATTGGCAAAGACATAAAAATAAATAAGACACGGTCTCTGCCCTCACGAAGCTCCTTATTCTTGAGGAGTGATGCTTCCTAAAAGACTGCACTAGGTATCCCACAAAAATGCTAGCCACATTCCACAAAATGTTCTTCTGTATATCTGAGAAATCTTAGAATAAATTTGAGAGATTTACTTGAGGAATAAGAAGTATGTTAAAATCAATCAACATACTTATTGAGCATACAATGTGTAAGGTGCTCTGCTAGGCCATGTGAGGGATGCAAAGCAGATATAATTCCTACACTCAGGGAACTTACAGTTGAATTGGGAAAACACAATTTAACTTTAAAAAGTTAAATGACAAACAAGATAAATAATAATACAAAATAATATAAAAAGCTATTACCATGTATTCTGTGTTGACAGAGGAATTAATCAACAAGCATTTATGAAGTGCCTACTGTGTGCCAGGAAATGTGCTAGGTATTGGGGATAAAAAGACAGAAGTGAGACAGCTGCTCACAGGGAACTTACTTTATAGGGGGAGTGGAGGATAGACAGCTTATTCACACAAAATATCAGAGAGATATAAAAGGTGATTTTCAGGGAGAACAATACTAGCAAGTGGGTGAGTTGGGAAAGGCTTTTTGAAGGTGGCAATTGAGTACAGCTCTGGGTTCCGTATTGCTTTTGGGACAGCTAGGTGGCACAGTGGATAGAGTGTAGGGCCTGGAGTCAGGAAGAGTCATCTTCTTGTGTTCAAATCTGGCCTCAGACACTTACTATCTGTGTAATCCTGGGCAAATCACTTTACCCTGTTTGCCTCAGTTTCCTTATCTGTAAAATTAGCTAGAGAAAGATCTGGCAAAGATACTGGAGGAAAAGGAGGGGAACATTCTAGACATGGAGGAAGATCTTGTGCAAAGGTAGCAAAGTGGAAGATGGGATGTTGGGTGTAGCAGCATAGAGTACCTAAGAAAGAGTAGTGGAAAACTAGGCTTGGAGCTAGGTGGTGAAGGACGTTAGATGCCAGTGGGGTTTGCATTTCATCCTAAAGGCTCCACTCTACGAGCCATCAAAATTTCTTGGTTGGAAAAGTGGTGTGGTCACACCTGTGTTGTAGGCATATCATGCTGCTAGCTTTGTGGAAGATGGAGGAGAGAGACTGTGAGTGCAAAGAAATATTTGGCCATGGAACCATTTTAGGCCTTGAAAAGTATTAATGGATATATACTCTTGGAAAAAAGGTAAGATTGGAAGAAATTTGGACCCCTAATTAGAGAAATTAAGTCTTCTGTTCATATGAAAAAATAACATTTGATAATCTTATATATGTAATTTAATGTATTAATAATTTAGAGGAGACATAATTCTAGAATTAATTGTTTTTTTCTCATGGAAATCATTCGTATATGCAAGATACAAAGACTTTTGGTAAACACAATTTGGGAAGTACTCATGTAGTTCAATTTTCTTAATAGATGAAGCCATTTATTTTACTATTTTAAAATTATATGTATAACTTTCAGTTTTGTCCTTTTGGAGATCAATGAGAGCTCATTAAAATATACCAAGAATGGCTTAGTAATAGTTCAGTCATAAAAAAGGAACAGTCATGCCTTGAGTTTTCTTTCCCAAATACCAAGAACTGCCAGAAGGTGTCAAAGAACCATTTTGTTTAGGAGAGAGGAAGCAGGCTCTTAGAAATGCTATAAAATCAAGGGTGTTGAGACTTCAAAGGATTCTGCCTTATTTATGTAAGTTGGCATCATTATATTCTACTGCTTTTGAATATGCCATCTTGTACTCTACCACTGTACGTGATTATGGTGACATTACTCATCTGTACCCTGTTCTGGAATGAACTGCACTTAGCTACTCTGCAGAATTATAGTATCAAAGAAATGGAAAGTGAGATAGAATTCATACTTAATATTGATCATATAAATAATTGAATACTCATTTTTTTAAAATGCACTTTGACAAAAGTAAAAATAAGCCTAGTCTAATTTTTCATGTTTCTTGAATGGTTTTTAGATTACACTGAAGAGAGTTAATGAATTTTAAACATTCTAATGCCTTTTGCTTAAAAGGTCTTAACTCCTTTCTTTGTATTCCCAGTATTTAGCACAGTGCTTGGCACATAGTAGACATTTTACAAATATTTATTGACTGATTAAGACGGACTCCACTAGACCATTTATTCATTTGAGGTTGGTGCACTTATAGCTTAATAGATAAAAACCTGAATTTTTTTTAGTTTTTATTGCACATATAAGTAGTATGCTTTTTTAATTTGAATTCATATCCTCATCATGTGAATTGCATCATAATCTTTTCTTCATTTAAAAAAGTTCTTGGTTTAAATAATTGCAAAGTTTAAAAATAAGTATGGACTTTTAAGGAGAATAAATCTAATGTAGCATTATCAAATTAATATGTTCATGATTCACAAAAATGCTTCAGTTTTTCACATGAATGAGTGATAATGTGGGCTCCGAGTTCTTTTTTAATCATTTTATTTTTTGGACTTTACATATTTTTCTAACCACATACATTATTCTTTTTAACCATCTTACTTTAGCATTAGGTGTGCAGTAGGACAGATGATGCCAATTTTGAATTGGGATAAAAGATAAATGATATTTTGGGGTGCCTTTAGGCCAAACAATTCAGGTTTTTCCATCTTATCCTATCATATTGTTTTGTGTTGTTTAAGGCTTTTATTATTTACTTAATTTTGGGTGTGGGGGAGAATAGTCTATACATATGCCAAAACCGAATGAGAAATTAAAATACACCCTGACTTTGTTCTTAATACCCACTTAATGGCCTCTGCCAAATTAATTGTAACAGAGAACCATTCAAATCACAAAACACATTAAATTAGCAAAGCAGTTTGACACATAGTGGTCATATTACTTCAAAAAATATTTTTCTGCAATGCATTTTATACATTTAAAGGGCTAATTGTATTCTTGACTGATCATGGATAATTTAAAAACCATTAATAGATTTCTTTCCTATGTTATTGTTCTTTTTTCTTTGTGAGCTTAGAGAATTTCCATTTCACGAAAATGCACTTTGTAAAATCCCCTAAATTAAATGGAAATATACAGTGTTTCACAAGTATATATCTCAGCTTGTTTAAAAGTGGGTAAATGAGAGGAAAAAAGATGATTGATTTTACCTATTTTGATAAGTAGTGTCAAGTTTTACATTTTACCTAGTAAGTTTGGCCTTTTCTATTATTAATCTACCATTAGTTAAACCAAAGTGAATCAATTTTGGATTATTTTAATACAGACTACCTTATTTTTTATTATCCATGATCGCAATTTCATTATAGATTGGTTTCTGTTTGTCAGAGTTCTTTTTACCAGTCTTTTCTTTCTTAGACTTTTTAAATTATACTTTTAGGGGAGAAACTCAGTGTAGACTAGCCCTTGGGAGAATTTTAGCATGAAGTTAGGCTAAATGTATATGGAATGGCAAATCTACTGTAAAAATATCATATGATGTTTTCCAAAGCCAAGTCAGTTGATTTTAGGTAGTATCTGTCATACTACTTCTGTCTTAACTAGTCAAAGTCAAGAGAGTTGACAGTGTTTCTCCCTTGAATATATCTTAACGTAGTTTAACTCCTAAATTGGTTAGACAAATGGTTTATTGTCCAAATTTGCAGTTAAAAGCAAGCTAACTGATTTTTGCTTGTTTCTCTAAGTATTAGGCAGCTACACACTCATGTCAAAAGGCACTGCAGTCATCTTGCAGCAGTTTTATTTTGTACTCTGTTCATTTATAAGTTCTGTAAATAATGATTCTGTAAATGTGATTTCTACATGACCTGTTTTCCACTGTTATTAAACTCTGTCATTTTGAACCAGCTTACCATTAAATGTGCAGGTATGAGAAAGTAAGTCATCTGATGACAGCTGCTGTCAACTGCCATGGTTGTCTTTATATGTTTTTGAAGAACAGTTTACATAATAGCCATTTCCATTTTTTAGAAGAAAAAACAATTATAGTAAAGAAAAGTTATTCTGATTCACTAAATACTCAGATCTTTCACTTAAATCCTAACTATGTGACATGTAAAATAGAAACATAGTGTTTTATGCATTAGAGGCTTCTGAAAAGTTGCATATTTATCAAATGACTTTAAATTCTATTTTAAAAGCAGTTAT